CGAAAAACATGCCAAAAACAGCAAATTGGTAAGCTAGGTTTAAAAGATGATGATAAGGCAGCAACGACATTAGAATTTCGATTTTCCAGTTGCACAGCCGGATACTTGAAACATCGATTTTAAATTATTTTTTTGAAAAAATGGCTTAGAAATTTCTCGGGAGTAATAATGAGGGAGAGTTAAAGAGAGAAAGAGAGAGAGAGAGAGAGGGGCGAGAGAGAGTGGGAGAAATAGAGTGGGAGAGAGAGGGAGAGAGAGTGGGAGAGAGTGAGAGAGAGTGAAAGAGAGCGAGAGAGAGAGCGAGAGAGAGCGACAAGTCCCTTGAAACTAAATTTATACCAAATCCAACCACCGCTTTTTAGAGGGTGCTGGACATCAAAAACACCATCTGTCTCGCTCCCTTTAATCGGCCAGAAATCATAAAATCAAAATACAACTCCTAAAAAGAATCAATTGCGCAAAAAGCCAAATCCCCGAAAATGTCACTCAAGTTGTCGGGGGTCGCCTGGAGAGTGGGGGTCTTCTAGCGTTTCGCGCGTGTGTTTCGGAATTTCTCTCTCTCTCTCTCTCTCTCTCTCTCTCTCTCTCTCTCTCCCCGCCCATTCCTTGAGGGAGTATTCCATGTCAGCCGGGGATTAAAGGGAATCTGAAGTGAAAGGGGGCAGCGGGCCCAGAAAAAGGGTGGCGGCTTGTTTGATGGCCCGGGGGGGACCATAGTTAGGGGGTATTCAATCTGGAGAATTTCTATTTTTGTAGATCTCCTTATCTCTGCCTCTCTCTCCCGCCCTCGCCCCTCTCTCACTTTCTCTCGCTCTCTCTCACTTTCCCGCTCCCTCTCCCTCCCTCTCTTTCTCTCTCTATCTTTCTTTCTATAGGCAAAAATCCTACAAGAAACAAAGAATGTTTCGTGAAATTAGCAGAAGTGAGCGCAATTTGTCACAGGAATTGGTGCTCAAATCCCGACAAATCAAGAGAATTGAATCGATCGCATGCTAGCAGAGAAAATTTGCGGAGCGCCCAAAATGAAAATTAAATCGGAAATGCAGTCACTTGCCGGAACTTAAATTTTTAAACGTTTTTGAATTCGGATTTCCGCTGGAAACCTTATGTTTCAAAAATTTTCTGCAACCAGTGCCAGTTGGCGGGGAGAATGTTCCGATCGGGGTGAATGTATCCTCCACGTCTACAAAATGAAGCCATTTTCGAAGAACCCGATTGCGATCAGGGCTTGGAAGGCAAGCTAGCAGAGAGAATTGAGGAAAATTATGGCAAGCCAGCAGAGAGAACTGAAAAAATTAGAAAAGTCCAGAAAAGCAGAAAAAGCAAATCCATTACAAAAATGAAGAAATTTCACGAGGATCCACGGAATTTGAGGAACGGCTCGGCAAAAAAAGTATTTATGGCATTCAAAAGAGTAAAAATTCGATAAATTAATACAGGAATCTTTCAGCAAAATGGATTTTCCAAATTTTTGGATTAATGAAGAAAAAATAGAACATCCTTTTTTTACAGAAATCATGAGAAAAAACGTTTCATAATTTGAACATTAACTCTTAATTTAACAAATATTTAATCGATACTCGGGACGTTGGGTCAGAAAAATGAAGAAATTCCATGAGAATCCCGAAGTAGCATATTAGTGAGGCATTAGTGAAGTAAGCTAGCAGAGGCAATTTGCGCAATTCGTATTTTTCAGTTTCTGAAATTCAATAATATTTACTTAAATCAAATCACAAAATATACACCATAACAATGAGGAAATTCCGCGTGAATCCGATTGACGTCGGGAAGTGCTAGGAAGGCAAGCTAGCAGAGGTGATTTGCGGTAATTTAAAAAATGAAATTCGTTCTCAAAAATCCCGAAAACCTCAAAATTTAATTCTACAAAAATGAGGAAATTCCGCGAGAATCCGATTGACGTGAGAATAGGGGAAGGGGCAAATGAAAATCGGCCCCAAGAAGGGCTTCTTTTATTATTCGGCTGAAAGGAGGGGCGGATTTGTGGCTGACTGAGAGAGAGACTCCATCTTTTGCGCGCGTAAATAGGAATAAATCGGATGATTATTCACCACCGGGAACGGCTTCCGGGTGTTGAGAAAACGAAGATTCACTCGATTTGAGAAATCGATTCTTGGAAAAAGATGTTTTGTCGAAAAATTTAAAACATCGGATAAAGATTAAGCTTATTATTGCGATGCAGCTGGGCACAATAAAAAGAAAATTTTTTAGGGTATCACTAATTTTTCGAATTAAAGTTATTAAATGCCAATTCGAAAATTTTTGAAAAATGATGTTTCGGAAAAAATTAAAAAAGATATTGCTAATTGATTCATTAATTGTAGCTAGTTGACGACCCCGTGTATTTTGTTTTTTTTCGGAGCGGAACTTAAATTCTTACCGAATCTTAAAAACTAATAAAATTTAATCGATCTTTTGAGAAATATGCTTTTTTTGTTGTAAAAATATAAAAAATAAAAAATGCATTTCCTAGCGTCAATAATTTTTGGAATGCTTAGCACCGGAAGTCCCAGTTTAGTTTGTAAAACAATATATTTGCCGGTCTTTGAAGCGATTAAATTTCGAGCTTTCTCAAAAGGAGCACCAGAAATCCAATCATATTCCTTAACTTCTTAAAACTAATGTTTCATAACAAATTAAAAAAAGTTTGTTTTTCGCGTCATTAATTCTTGCACGGTGAGGAAGCGTCATTCCGTAGTGAAACTGCAAACGCCGCGAATACCGTAATTTTCAACCCAATAAATTCGCAAATTTTTGAATCTAAGAACTTCCGTGTCTTGAAAAATTACATACGAAATTTTTTGAAAAATTATGTTTCGGCAAAAATTTACTTGACTGGTTTTTTGGAGTTACTAATTTATTCAGAATTAAAATTCAATACACACACATTTATGTGAATTGCGAAAGCGTCCGGGGTCCGAAAAGAAAGCAAAATAGCTCACTTTTTGACAAATGAAATGCGTCTCATAAAACACAGAAATTGGGAATTTTAGCGGAATCAACGTCAGGAGATCCTGAAATTGCTTTACATATTTTTTTCGAAAGCATCTTTCATAACACATTAAAAACGAGTTTTCGTTGGGGCATGTAATTTTTTGTATTTGACTTGATGAGTATTTCATCAATTTTTTTTTGCTTGCTAATGCACCCCGGGGCTCGAAAAACTCAAGTAAGCCATAGCTGATTTTTCATACCGCGATTTCAAGGAAGAACAGCTTCACCTCGATTTTCCGAATAATAATGTTTCTTAGGTAAACCAAAAAATTCTGTAATCAACAGATGTTAATAGGCCGACGACAGAAACGTGTAAGTAATTTTTGAAACACACCCTGCGAGTGCTAGAGGGCAAGCTATCCCTTGAAAAAGGCGTAATTTAATCACATTTAAAAGAGGTTAGATTCCTAAAAGGGGCTAGGAAAATTTAGGCAAAAAAGCCAGAAATAGATTCTTCAAACTTGGATTTTTGAAAACGGGTTTCATTTTTTGGCAGAGATAAAAGGCAATCTGCGGAGTCAATTCTCGGTTTCTAAAATCTGGCTGGTTTCCCGAAAATCTGCGGATAGAGCAAAAATAAGCACAGAAAAAGATATTTTTCATCCGGGCCCCCACCCCACCCAGGCCAAGGGCCCGGCGACCACAAAATTTCCGGTTTGCCCGTTCACTGGAGCGAATCGGAGTGGTGTGGTAGGCCCCCCGTTCTTTTTTGTTTTCTTTTCCTTTCTTTAGAATCTTTTTCGGTCCCTGTGTCTCTCACTTTCGCTCTCTCGCTCTCAGGCTCTCTCGCTCTCTCTCCTCCAGCAACCAATAAAAACCTGGGGCCCCATAAAAATAATCTATTTTCGGGGAGGCCCCATTGGCCAACAGGAAAAATAGGAAAATGTTCTTGATGTTCTACAGTAGTTTTTAGTAAATTTTAACCATTAAGAAGCTTAAAAAACGGCGAATATATTTTCTAACAAGACCGAAAAAATCCAGCGTTTTGCGAATTCGTATTGACATGTCAACCGGGTAGTCGAAATTGATCAGGGGCGAAACACATTTTTTTCTATAGAATGGCGCAAATAACTTTAACGTCATAGTAGGAGTTTTAATCGTGTTTTTATAAAATGAAGCTATATTCAAATGGAAAATTATCTAAAAGGCTTTCAAAATAATTTAAGTAATTCAGGATTTTTACGAAAATCGATATTTTTGTATGTTTTAACCAAAATTTGTAAAGTATTTGGGTCTAAGAATATAAAAAACGGTCTAGAAACGCTTCCTCTATTGATATTGACAAAATTGGATGCTACACTTTCCAGCTTCCATTGACATCTCGACCAGGCACTCGACATTTACCAGAGCCGAAACATATGTTTTGTAAAATGCTAGTCTTGGCGTCTGACGTAAGAGTAGGTGTTTTAATAGTTTTTCTCGTAAACTGCAACCATATTCGCATGGAAAAAATTATCGAAAAAGCTTTAGAAAAAATTTCAGAAAGTGGTGATTTTTGTCGAAATCCGACATTTTTGTATGTTTTAACCAAAATTTGTAGTTTTTGGGTTCAGAAATGGGTGAAAAAAAATTTCGAAAAATTTCCTTTTTCATATTAGCAAATTGGATCTTCAACAAACAAAGCCCCCCCCCCCCGGTAATGGAAAAGCACCGACTCTGGGCTAGAAGGTAGTTTTCAATTCGACTTTTCTCGGATCTAGCAAAAAATGGTTCTGGTTCGTTAGCGGGGGGGGGCGGCCGGAGTAGGCCCATTCCCCCCCGCTAACGACAAAGACCCTCAAAATCGTCTAGATACGGCCATCAGGATCAAGCGAACTCTCAAATGCCTATCAACTCGTTTATCATCAGCACATCTACACTCTACACGTTAATCACAAAACAAATGCACGAAAAGAACGAAGGATAGAAAGAAAGAAATAAATAAATAGAGAAAGAAAGAAATAAATCGAGAAAAAGAAATGGCTGAACTTGTTGAAGACGGGGGGCTAGACGATGGCGCTGCTCCTGGCCGACTTGACGGTGTCGCCGGGTGGTTTCGCGGGATTTTGAGGGTCGTCGGGGCGTTGCGCATCTTCTGGCGTCAACGTCTCCAGCCAGGACACTGGTGGGGGTGCCTCGTATTTTTCTGGAAAAAGGGGATCTCTCGCTCTCGCTCTTACTCTCTCTCTCTCTCTCTCTCTCTCTCTCTCTCCTTCTCTCTCCCGCTCTCTCCCGCTCTTTCTCACTCTCACTTTCTCTACCTCTCTCACTTTCTCTCACTCTCCCGCTCTCTCTCTCACTCTCACTTTCTCTCCCTCTCTCTCATTCTCTCTCCCTCTCACTCTCTCCCTCTCACTCTCTCTCTCACTCACTCTCTCACTCACACACGCTCTCTCTCTCTCTCGCTCTCTCCCATCAAAAACTCACTGTTTTTGAAGTAGACGGTGAGCACGAACAACGCGACGAGACAGAGCACGAAAACACGCGATTGCACCCATCCTTCGTCACTAGTAAACATAGATACGGTGGGAGGTACTGGTCTGTCAGCGGTGGGGGACTGACTTTAACTGGAGTCTAAGCCAATTTTTATGCTGGTAAAAGATTGGTCCCCCGCTAAGGGCCCAGTACCTCCAACTGGGCTCGGTGACGACGAGCCGAGTGGGGTTGGTCCCCTGCGTCGCCTCGGTCGTCATCGCGGTGGTGGTGGTGGGCGCCGTGGCGATCGTGATCCGCCAGTCATCCTGCAACAAACTTCCGGTTCTTTGGCGTTATCGGGGGGGGAGCAGAATTATAGCATAGCACTAATTTCGATTTCGTACCGGGCAAACAGCGGCCCTTCCGGAAACCTACCGGATACTGATGGTTAGCGTCCCTGACGTAGGTGGGCGAGGGCATAGCCATTGGTTCTATCTAAAAAGTATGCCAATCGGTAGTTTTTGATTAACAAAAAAAATCTACAAATTCGTTCTACAAATCTAAAAACTGCACTGTTAGCGGGGGGTGGCGTTTTGTTTTTCAAAAAATTTAAATTTTAAAATACATTCTCTAAATCCGGACAATTTGACGTTTTTTTTTTAGTTTTCTATACATTTTTGGGCCAAAATTTCAGGAACTTCGAAAATTTTTGTTGACTTTTGTATCTAAAAAATTATGTAAATTGCTATAAAAATGGTTTATATTTTCATAGAGGGCCGTAGAGAATTTTTATGGGAAATATTTGGTCTCCCCCCGATAATGCCAGAGAACCAAAAACGAACGCTCTTCTTGTAGGCGTCGAACAGGGCGAAAAACCCGGGACTGACAGGGCTGTGCAGCACGCTGCCGACGTTGCCGGGCCAGTTGCCGCTGGGGGTGGTGGGGGCGGTGGGGATGTAGGGATCCTCTGAAATTCAGGTGAAGGTATCTCTCGGATACGATACCACATTCCATGGAAGCAGGGTTACTTCTGACTGCCCCCGCCCAGCATCCCGTCACGATCGAACTGTTTCCGGTCATGTTCCCGTTGTCGCAGAACGAGACGTGGTAGGGAGCCGTGCTCGGCTGGGCGCATGCTGAAAAAGCAAAGGTACCAGAAGAGTTATGAGTTGGAGTGCAGTTTACCCCCCAGCCGACCCCCACCTACCGTATCTCGGCTCCCTGTTCATCTACAGCTGTGTAAAGTAGACCAAAATACTCGCCAGGGCAAGACGAACATTTTGGTATGCTTTACACACCTGTAGATGAACAGGGAGCCGAGATACGGTAGGTGGGGGGTCGGCTGGGGAGGGGGGGGGAGAGGGTGGGATCTGGAGTTCAGCCGAAAGCGAGTTCCTTGGTACTATAGCATTATCGGGAGGGGGGGATTTTTTTTGTATTCATCTAGAAATGCCTAGTAGTTTCATATGAAGCTTTTTCAGAATGTTCTCAATAAGAGAATACTATATTTTAACTACAAAAACTCGCTACAAACTTGGAAAAACTTTTTTGAAAAATTCGAAATTTTGGTGAAAAAACGGCCATTTTTTTGTATTTTAATTTTTATATTTTTTTTAGGAATTAGTTTTTGTAAAGTTTCTATGTTAAAGGGAGTAAAAAACAGCTTAGAACGACTGCCGCTATTTATAAATAGTATATAGCTTGAAAAATTTACAAAATTTTAATGTTTGAAAAATGAACAAAAAAATTCAAAATTTAGGATTTTCAAAAATTTTAAAATATTTTTAATAGCTTTCTAGCCATCAAAAACTGCAAAAAACGCCATAAAATAAATAATATATCATCAACATGTTAAAATAAATAAAAAATGGTTGGAAAAACGAATAGTGGTCCCCCCCCCCCCGATAACAGTCCAGAACCGGAATTACCCCTATAATTCAAAAAACCGACCATATCTGATAGACTTGTACTTCCCATTGAACGGCACCCTCTCGAAGAAGACGAGGCCCGGGTCATGGTGCTCCATCTCGCGCTCCACCTCCACACAACCGTACACCGGATGCCACGGCGGGTGGGCTATGTCGCATACCTCATCCTGCAAACAGCAGTTGGAGGTTGCCGATGCTGCTCCCCCACCCCGCTGTACGGCTTGAAGTCGGTGAAGTCGCGGGGCCCGCGCGGGTACAGCACGCCGTAGCCGAAGCGGGCCTTGTGGAACTCGATCAGGCGCTTCAAGTCGTGCGAGATCTAAGGTGGTTCTGGACTGTTAGCGGGGGCAAATTGGTTAGAGTGCAGCCCCCCCCAGCCGACTCCCACCTACCGTATCTCGGCCGCCTGTCCATCTACAGGTGTGTACAGTATACCAAAATATTCATCTTGCCCTGGCGAGTATTTTCGTGTACTTTACACACCTTTAGATGAACAGCGAGACGAGATACGGTAGGTGGGGGTCGCCTGGGGGGACGTCGCCCGCCGAAATTGTACCTGAGGCACCAAATTTTTCCCAGTAATTCTCTGGGGCCCTAACGAAAAATATCAACTATTTTGATAGTATTTTACATAGTTTTTAGCCATAAAAATAATATAGAAACAATACTAAAAATTCTCGAAAAGTATAAAAATGACCAAAAATCCAAAAATTTTCGAATTTTAAAAAGTTTAAAAATTTTTTGTAATTTTTCTAGCAATCAAAAACCGTTAAAAACACTATAAAAATACATTATATACCATCCATATATAGCGGTAAAGGTGGAAAAACAGAAAGTGTCTCCCCCGCTAAGAGGCCAGAACCAGCCACTTACCCGATACACAAACCTCGGCGGCTCGGCGCCTCCTTCGGGTTCTAGAAGACATAAAATAAAAAAAAGAATAAAAAAAAACGAAATAAATTAGAAGAAATCCGCTACTTAAAGCGCACGTTCAGGGAGGGGCCGTGTACTCGTCCCAACGTGTACACCCTATGGACGTAGGTCCCACTGTCTGCCCGTGCTGTGACAGGCCATTCCACTCCTTTGCGGTGTGCTGCGCCCCCCCCCCCGCCAGGTTGTAGCTGTGGCGGACTGGTATCCATCCGCGCCTCCCGAGCGGGGGGTCCGGGTTCGACCCCCGGCCGCGGCAAAAATCTTTGCTTTTTCCAAAAAAAGTCTCTGAGTAAGGCAAAATACCGTACCACAAATGCCGGACGAGTGGGGCGCCCTCCTTTTCACATTCTTCCAGCATCCCGTCGCGTCACCAAGCGAACCAGGTGTCATCTCGGGTCGAAGCGGAACCTTCGCGTCGCTCTCCGCACAGAATTCCGTGTCTATCGAACATTCTGGAAAGTTCTTAAAAATTACAGTAAAATAATATGACAATAATATGCCTCGTAGCCGTTCATCCACATTTTGAGGTACGAGTCGGTGACTGAAAAGAGCGGTATTTTTGCATTAGCGTGGTGGGGGAGCCACAATTTTGCTTAATCCGAAAAAAGCGTAGTAGCGTGATAGTAAGGGTTTTAATATGCAAATAAATATAGATCAATGAAAAATATATAAAAATGGCAAAAAAGATCAAAAAGTTGAAATTTTTTTGAAAATTTACACGTTTTTTGTAACTTTCTGACCATCAAAAACTACCCAAAAAATACTAGAATAAGAAGAGCTATATCGATGGCCGGGATTACAAACCCCCCGCTAAACGAAAAGTACCAACAAAAAACCGACTGGCAACGGACTGCCCGCCCGGATCTTTACACATGCAGTCGTCGAGCGGCGTCGCCTCGCTGTAGCATCCCCACGGATTCTTGCACACAATTTGGCCGAGTTGCGGGCATACTGAAACGAAAAGCGTTTTTGCCGGTTCTTTTCCATTATCGGGGGGGGGGGTTGGTAAGCAAACGCCTCGATAACACCTACCATATTTAACCTGATACCCGTCGTGATCAGTTCGAAAAAGCAGCGACTTGTCATCACTGGAGATTGGCCCCGGGTAGCAGCCCGTCTCCGCAGAGTACAGGGCCGGCCCGTTGATCGCGCACGTCACCTGCAAGCAGAGGCATCCAAGAAAGTACTCGACTCTTAGCGGGGGGAGTAAGATAGAAAATCCCCACCGCTAACAGCCCAGTACCAGAAAAACAGTAGGCTGAACTCCAGATAACCCCCCGCCCCCTCCGGGGCCGACCCCCCACCTACCGTATCTCGGCTCGCTGTTCATCTACAGGTGTGTAAAGTATACCAAAATACTCGTCAGACCAAGACCAACATTTTGGTGTACTTTACACACCTGTAGACGAACAGGGAGCCGAGATACGGTAGGTATAGGCGGCCTGGGCGGGGAGGGGGACCGAACCACAGCCCGATTCCATCGGCCTGTTGGCTCAGTGGTTTTGCGTTCGCTTCCCGCGCACAAGGCCCGGGTTCGACCCCCCGCCGTGACGAGGCGTTTTGCTTTTTGGCCACAAGCTGGGAGCGGGATGGTGCTGTTACCCCTGATTTTCCAGCGTGCGCCCAGCCGAGCACGGCTCCCTACCACGTTTCGTTCTGCGACAACGGGAACATGACCGGAAACAGTTCGATCGTGACGGGATGCTGGGCGGGGGTTGTCAGAAGTAACCCTGGGTCCATGGAATGTGGTAGGGCCGTGGTTCAGTTTAACACCCCCCAGCCGACCCCCACCTACCGTATCTCGGTTCCCTGTTCATCTACAGGTGTGTAAAGTATACCAAAATACTCGCCAGAGCAAGACGAACATTTTGGTATACTTTACACACTTGTAGATGAACAGCGAGTCGAGATAAAAAAAAGTTGGGGGCCGGCTGGGGGGTTATCTGGAGTCTTTCCAAGCTTACCCCCCCCCCCGTTAACAGTACAGTACCGTAAGGTAACGCTGATTTTTGAAAACTCACAGCTTCACCCTGAGCCTGGACGTCGGCAGCAACAAGGAGAAACAGGAGCAGCAGCAACGGGCAGCCCATCTCCGCCAAAAAAAGTTTGAAGGAGTGAGAGGGGAGAGTTTTTTGGGGTTTTGGAGAGAAATATGGCATGCAAATCACCGGTTGAATGCAATTTGCATGATCACTGATTTGACTCCGTTTCCAAGCTCTCCAAATTCCGGAAAACCGCGAAATTCCGCTCTCCACCCTGAAAATGGGGCGGCTGCTGCTCGTCTTGCTGCTCCTTGTCGACGTCGGGACCGCCGATGACAGCGTAGGGGCTTGGGATGCGTTGGGTCTGTGCTGTTAGCGGGTGGTATCTATTGCTCTCTCTCTCTCTCTCTCTCCTCTTTCTCTCTTTCTCTCACTCTCTCTCTCCTCTTTCTCTCTCTTTCGTTCTCTCTCTCTCTCTCTCGCTCTCTCTCCTCTCTCTCTCTCTCTCCTCTTTCTCTCTCTTTCTCTCTCTCTCCTCTTTCTATCTCTCTCCACTCTCTCGATCTCGATCTCTCTCTCTCTCGCTCTCTCTCTCCCCTCTCCCCTCCCCACCGCTAAGAGTACAGTCCTCCTTCCAGGTGACGTGCGCGTTGAACACGCCGCGTTTCTACGACCCGTCCACCGGCTGCTACCCGGGCCCCGTCCAAAATTCGTACGATCCGGATACGGTCCTATTTTGGGAGGTGGTCGAGGGCTATCGCGTGTATTACGGTATCGCTTGCGGCTGACGTGCCTGGAATTTTTGGATCTTTTGCATTATCGGGGGGCAAGCACCGCTTGGCCCCCTCCAAGGCACTAGAACCACCGTTTTTTGCAGTGTGCCCGGAGCCCGGTCACAAAGTCTGCCGGAGCAAGGGCAAGGACAAGAAGTCGCCGGACCAATTTTCGTGCTACGAAACGGCAGACCGTATCCCGCCGGAACCCATCCAAAAGAAATGCCAGTGCTCGAAGAGAGGGGAACCACCGTCGGAAACAGGTGGCTTGGCTTAGGCTTGGCTTAGGCTTGGCTTAGGCTTGGCTTAGGCTTGGCTTAGGCTTGGCTTAGGCTTGGCTTAGGCTTGGCTTAGGCTTGGCTTAGGCTTGGCTTAGGCTTGGCTTAGGCTTGGCTTAGGCTTGGCTTAGGCTTGGCTTAGGCTTGGCTTAGGCTTGGCTTGGGCTTGGCTTAGGCTTGGCTTAGGCTTGGCTTGAAGCGGCTGAGGCTTGGCTTAGGCTTGGCTTAGGCTTGGCTTAGGCTTGGCTTAGGCTTGGCTTAGGCTTGGCTTAGGCTTGGCTTAGGCTTGGCTTAGGCTTGGCTTAGGCTTGGCTTAGGCTTGGCTTAGGCTTGGCTTAGGCTTGGCTTAGGCTTGGCTTAGGCTTATATAGAAGAATATCACTAAACAGCGAATTCTTGCAGTGTCGGAAGAATGGTTCAAACGATGGGATGCTGGCTTTAACGGCGAATGCGGTTCCGAGGAAACACGAAACGAGGGTGCCAAGGTCGAGCCGCTATTTCGTCCGGTGGGTTTCAGCGCTTGTTTAAATCCTGACACTGTCTAGGGCTGAGGCATGAAAAGCGAATGTGCTTCTACGTTGTTTTTAGCTATTCCTAAGCATAAAAACGAACGCTAAGCATTTTTTCGGCTCAAGTGCAGTTTCCCCTCACCCCCAGCCGACCCCACCTACCGTATCTCGGCTCCCTGTTTGTCTACAGGAGTGTAAAGTATGCCAAAATGTTCGTCTTGCTCTGGCGAGTCCTTTGGTATACTTTACACACCTGTAGATCACAGGGAGCCGAGATACGGCGGGTGGGGGTTGTCTGAGAGAGAGGGGGTAAACTGCACTCTTACCCTCCAACCTTCAGAAGATCTACTGTGACGTATCCGGGCCACCGTACGATCCGAAGGGCAGAACGTGCAAAAGATCCGTCGCAAAACATTTTGGAACGTCGCCAAGCATCGCCTTCCGCGAGGACATCCTGCACCCTGACAACACCACGGTCATGGTCATCTACGGTCGGTCGAGTGTTTTTTGAGGCCTGGGCCAAGCTTGCGCTAAGCTATAACTTTGCGTAGGCTTGGCTTAGACTTAGCTTAGGCATGGCTTAGGTTTAGGCTTAGGCTTAGGCTTAGGCTTAGGCTTAGGCTTGGGGCTTGGAAGCTAGGCATGGCTTAGGCTTGAGGCTTAGGCTTAGGCTTAGGCTTAGGCTTAGGCTTAGGCTTGGGTTTAGGCTTAGGCTTGAGGCTTAGGCTTGGGCTTAGGCTTAGGCATGGCTTAGGCTTAGGCTTAGGCTTAGGCATGGCTTAGGCTAAGGCTTAGGCTTAGGCTTAGGCTTAGGCTTAGGCTTAGGCTTAGGCTTGGGCTTAGGCTTAGGCTTAGGCTTAGGCTTAGGCTTAGGCTTAGGCTTGGGCTTAGGCTTAGGCATGGCTTAGGCTTAGGCTTAGGCTTAGGCATGGCTTAGGCTAAGGCTTAGGCTTAGGCTTAGGCTTAGGCTTGGGCTTAGGTTTTGGCGGCCGAAGGTTTTGGCGGCAAATCTGTCGTTATGTGTTCCGGGCAGTACAAATGACGCGATTTTGAGGATTCGGGGCCTCGCGAATTTTCGGGGGGTTCGACCCCCGCCCGCGGCATGGTTTTTGCTTTTTGAGCCCCGAAAAGGTTGGGAATCCCTGAAGGGCCTCTGGGAGGCTGGGGTACTCAGCCGCAGGGGTTGCGGCTGGCTGCAGAGCGCGGACACCGTGGCGGCGTACATAAGAGCGCCGCGTGGGGGGGGAAAGGGGGTGCTCGGGCAGGTCATCCCTCTCCGCCGCCTGCTCCCTGTTGGTGAGCGTGGTATAGTGGATAGCGCGCTGGGCTGTCATTCTCACGGTGCGGGTTCGACCCCGCCCGGTGGAAACGCCTTTTGCTTTTTCGCGAAAACCATCAGTCTAGAGGCCTTTAAGATCCGATATCACAAAAAAATCGTTGTTCAGTGTGCGAAGCGGGATATTTCTGCTCCGAGGGCTCCGGAGATTTCTGGCCAGCAGCACTATCGGGTCCGTTGGGCGAGCGGGTGGGCTGCTGGGACAAAGTGAATAAACCGACGCCCTACTCGTCGGGAGTCTGCGGTAAGTGTCGTTCCAGGTTTTTTTAGTTTTCCTCTTTCACTTCAATTTTGTCGTTTTCAGTGGCCGAATCCTCTCCGCCCCGCATTGTCTATACGGTGAGTATTGCCGCGTCCAGGAGTGCATTGAGCGTTTCGGCGCATTTTTTGGCTTAAGTGCAGGTTACCCCCGGCCCCCCAGCCGGCCCTTACCTACCGTATCTCGGCTCCCTGTTCATCTACAAGTGTGTAAAGTATACCAAAATACTTGCCACAGCAAGACGAACATTTTGGTATACTTGGCACAGCTGTAGATGAACAGGGAGCCGAGATACGGTAGATGGGTGCCGGTTGGGGGGGTTAGACCAGACTTCGAAGCCCCTTTAAAGAGCTAAACTACAGACTGCCGTGTCAGCACCTACATACGTTTTTGCAGGCCTCCGCCGACCTGAAGCGTCTGATCGAGTCCCGCCAGGGTCGCCTCGGCTACGGTGTACTCTTCCCGCGTGGGCCGGACGACTTCACCGACTTCAAACCGTTCCACTACGTGAGTGCCCGCTCTGGCCTACCCCCCGCTAGCAGCCCAGTACCATCCTTCTTCCAGGACGTGGCATGTGACGTGGCCCACCGCCCCTGGCACCCAGTTGAAGGATGCGTGGAGGTGGAGCGCGACCTGCCATTCGCGACAACGGAGATAGGTGTTACGATTGGGGAGCCCGACTGGGGCATCGCCTTCTACGAGACAGTCCTCAACAACGATGGCGAGACCTGGACGCACGTCGTTTATGGTGTGTTCGTAAAAAAAAAACAAAAAAAAATCCGAAAGCAAAAAATGAAAAAAGACATTTTTTTCAGGGCAGTCCGATTTTTCTTTTGTATGTGTCCAGCGATGCCTACTAACGTAATAGGACCTGCACGGTAAAAAAAAGAACAAAAAAGCCCAAAGCAAAAAAAATTGAAAAATCCAGAGCAAAAAAAATCAAAAAAATTTTTTTTCGGGGAGCCGGGTTTTCCTTTTGTCTAAGTCCGCAAATTTCTAGTAACTTAATAGTAAATATATTCTTAACAAAAGCCTTCTACTTAAATGCTCATCAAAAAAAATTCCAAAAACAAAAAAAAAGTGAAAAAATGAAAAATCTTTCGGAAACCCGATTTTAAGTCCAGAAGTGCCTAGTTTGCACTTAATAGTGTTTTTAGTTAATTTAACCAGATTTCAAGGGGAGAAACTATTTGTTTTAAACGTCTAGAATTTTGAAAATTTTTAATTGAGGTACAAATTTCAAAAAGTCCAAAATTCCCAAACTTTAGCCTGCGCCCTGCCGAGCACTGCTCCCTACTACGTCTCGTTCTGCAGCAACGGAAAGGCCTCTGACATCGTGACGGGATGCTGGTCGAGGGCGTGGAGACCTTTGCCTGAACTTACTTCATGCGGTACGTGGTTCTCATATTCTTAATTATTTTCGACTCTATTCTTCAGTTTTGGAGGTTCCTTAGGATTCGCGGGGGGGCGGGGAACCAAATTTTTTTCGGCACAGGCCTAGATTTTTTTATAAATTGCGGATGCGCTTCTAAATTGTTTTTAACTATTCCTGAGCATAAAAACTACACATTTTAACCAAAAAAAATAAAAAAAATAAAAGTTAAGTCGGACAATCCTATACAGGGTGTGCAAAAAAAAAAGCCCACAGTTTGGGTCGAAATAACTCGCGAACGGTAGAGAATCGAAGGTGCGTTACCATGCCAGAATGCTTAAATATGCTGGGTATGAAGATTTAACACAACATGATTTTTTCGATTTTTGGCGACGTAGAATACAAATGACACCCGAAAACTGTGCGTTCGGGGAAACTTCATTTGTATTTTTCTCAGTTTCCTGTGGTGGCTGGCATCTAATTTTTATTATGTAAGGTAATATAAGCCGCAGATATGTACCTACAAAATTTAAGAATTTTTGAGGGTCTGGTTGAAAAGTTAGAGAGGAATGAAATTTTGTATGGAGAAATTTCGTAATTTTTCGTTATTAAAAAATCTTATGGTGGAAATGTCAAAAGAACGAGTTGTAGAATACCTACGGACTATGCACAATTGCATAAACACATTAAAAAAATTTTCGAGGTCGACGAATTTTTGAGTTTTTCAACGACCCCCTGGTCATGGATTTTTCGAGGTCTCGAAACTGAACTTGGAAAAAATATTTCTAAATTGCCAAAGGAGACTGAGCTGTTTTCTTTGCTTAGCTATGTAGTTCTGGGGTTGATCTATCATCTACAAAATTTCGAGCTACCGTACCCCTTTGGAAGGGCGTCTTTTAGGGCCTCCAAAACGGTTGGTTCGTGCTTTTTTACATACCTTGCCACCATGTTATAAATTTCAATCGCGCTATGAAAATTATCGTTTTAATTTTATCTGATAGCAGTGGAATAGCGCATCCTAAAGCCTTATTCATGAATTTTTTTAACCAGCCGTTGGCGCCAAGAAAATTCATCAAAACCCGAAATAAACCGAATTGGAGGTTGCGTAAAAAAATTTTGGAAGGTGGAGTCGTAGGGATATTTTGAGCAATAAGTCAGTGCCATCAGTTGAATAAAGCTATGCAAAGATTAAAGCAATTTCACGTCGCAAACATTTTAAGAAGATTTCTAAACTTCGATTTTGGAATAGGGTGATCTTCGATTTTGAGCTGAAAGTCACCATAATCATGAATCAGATTGTCCCCAAATTTGACGGGCGTAGATAATAACATCAAAGCTATAACCGTATCCATAATACCCAGCTCGTTTTTTTATTTTTAAAAACTCGAAAATTGACCCGGCCACTCGGACCCAAAATCGGCTCTCTGGACTGGTTTTGCACTGCCTCGTAACTTTGTTATTTACCATCCAAAATCAGTCATTTTTGACAGGCTATCTTACAATCGCTTCTAGAAGGTCCTCGAATAGAAAAATCGTCAATTTATGGAATTTTGTGATGGCATGCTAAAACGCGCTCCACGGGGGTTACTGTAGAAAATCGAAATTTGCGATTTTCCGGTGTTTTTGCCATGGAATCGCTTCGATCTTTTTCGGAAAAACAATAGTAGCAGTTTTTGGACCAATTGATCAAAAAATTTACAAAATTCTGCCGCAGAATTAAAAAATAAGTTTTTAGTCTTTTTCATGAAAGTTTGTGGATAGTACGCTCTCGTATTTGGCAGTAAGGTGCCTCTACTTATTGCCTAACAACCCAGAAAATTTTAGCCGAATCGAAGCTAGGGGCCCCGAGAAAAGCGGGAAAACGAAACCTACAGTACCCCCACTGGGGCACGTTTTAGCAAGCAATACAAAAATACCATAGATTGTGGTGGAATATGGTGTGGAGTCCGAGATTAATATTTGGATAAGCCATTGGCGAAAAACCAGCCATAGGCAGTGAGTTATAAGCGAGTTATGACACCGAGAACAAAAATAACGAAAACTCGCGAAAATTGTTTTGTTTTTAAAAAATGAAATTGACCTCAAAAAATTCTAAAATTTTGCTATTACATTTCTACAAATTTATACTATTTTCAGACAAAAAAAATCAGGATTTTCCCACCACCCGTTAAGGAACGCACAATTTTCGGTCGCAACCAGCGTCAATAGTACAGTTGCGTACCCAAAAACCGAAAAAATCAAGTTGTGTTAAATCTTCATACCCAGCATATTTAAGCATTCTGGCATGGTAACGTACCTTCGATTCTCTACCGTTCGCGAGTTATTTCGACCCAAACTGTGGGCTTTTTTTTTGCACACCCTGTAGAACCTTTAGGATTCGCGGGGGGAAGACCCAAAATGACCAAATTTTCGACTTTTTCAAACATTTTTCTAAATTTTTCTCAAAGTTATTCTACTTTAAATATCGTTAAAACTTACTAAAAACAATTCGAAAACACTTTATATTTGATTACTAGGTCAACCGGGACCACCAGGAAAAAATGACAAAATTTCATACATTTTAGACAAAATTTTTTTATAAACGGGACCAAACCGGTGTAGAATACGATAAAAATGGTTTATATTGCGCTCAAGGGCGGTACGGAATTATTGGGCAAAAATTGGTCCCCCTTCCCTATAAAAACTCCCCACTAAACAAAAAAATTTGGTCAAAAATGTATGAAAAATGGCCCAAAAAAGGTTAAAATTCGGGATTATGAAAACTCGGGGCTAAAATTAAAATTCTATAATTCTAATATTCTAAAATTAGGCTAAATTTCCGCATTAGGGCGGTAATTTTCCCCTTTCAGATGACCCGACGACCTCCAAGGCGGAGATCCCGGCCGAGTGGCCGCACAAGTTGGCGGTGTTGCACAGCCCGGCCAGTCGCGGAATACGCACGCTGCTGCGACGCTACGTCAAGCTGAACGATCCCAGCAACGCCGGAAGCCGAGGAGCGATCTCGGTACGTGTTAGCTGTTTTGTGAGCACAAAAAACCTAAAAAAAAACTAAAAATTTTCAGTCCAAATTTTTTTCTAAAATTTCCGTTGTTATTTTTTTCGGTATTTACTGGTTCTTTCGCATTATCGGGGGGAGGGGGGACTGGCTACTAAAATAATGGCACATATTTTAATAATTTTTTTGTAAAATTTGACTACTCCACTTCACGTGAAAAAATGGTAAAAAATAAAAGATTTTTTAGATGAGATTTTGGTGTAAAAAGACCATTTTTGGTCAAAACATCGATTTTTCTTGTTTGTTTTTCTTTTATCAAATTTTTAACACACTCATAAAATTTTGACGCTTAGGAATAGTGAAAACATTCTAGAACGACTTTGGTGTTTCGATTAAAAAAATTAGATCCTTAGAAAGTTACCCCCCGATAATGCAAAAGAACCTGTTAGGACCCTATGAAAACGACGCGTTCCCGGGGTATTCGAGACATTTCCAGGGGACTGCACTCGATTTCGCGCTCACCTACACGCGGGTCAAAGAGGTCAAGTACGAGGTATGGGTAACACCCAAAAACGTTTTTAATTTTTTAGGATTTTTTTTAGTTACAGCTGAGTCTCCACCGGGGCCTAGCGTGTGCAGAATTTTGCGCTGATTCCGAATATGGTTTCCAAACCTCCGGATTCGCGATTTTCCGAAAGTTATGGACGAGCAAAGTCTGAAAAACCCCAAAAATGAGCCGCTTTTGAAGGTTTTTCTGGCTTCAATCGTTTATAACTTTCGAAAAGTCGCGAGTCCGCAGTTTTGGTTACCATATTCGCAACCAGCGCAAAATTCTGCACCAGATAGGCCTCGTCCGAACTTGACCATGTCACTAAAAATATCTCTTTTTTAGCCGGAATGGCTGATAACTACCACCACAAAATCCACCACCACGGTATCGACCCAGTCGACCACCACCGTATCCACTCAGTCGACGAATGCCACGATGGCTACCACGATGAATACAACGAAGGCCACAACAACCACCACTACGAGGAGCACGACAACTGAGAGACCGTGGAGGTAGAGAGTGACAGAGAGAGAGAGAGAGAGAGAGGAAGCGATAGAGAGAGGGAGAGAGAGTGAGAGAGAATAGAGCGTGAGAGAGAGACAGAGAGAGCGAGAGCGAGTGAGAGAGAGATAGAGAGGGAGAGAGAGTGAGAGTGAGAGAGAGCATGAGAGCGATAGAGGTGATAGAGTGAGAGAGGGAGAGAGAGTGACAGAGAGCGAGAGAGAGCAAGAGAGAGAGACACAGAAAGAGAAAGTGGCTCTGTACCGATAGCACGGGGCAATGACAACAGAACGGGGCATTGACAACAGAACGGGGCAATGACAGCAGAACGGGGCAAAGCCAGCAGAACGGGGCAATGGCAGCAGAACGGGGCATTGCCAGCAGAACGGGGCATTGCCAAGTCCCCGCGGCCGGCGGCCAGCAGAACGGGGCATTGGTTTGGCCAGGGGGGCCGGCGGCCAGCAGGACGGGGCATTGCATATTTTCTCAAAAAAAAACCACGTATTTTTATGGTATCTCGCCTATTTTTTTTCTCTGATGATAGATTATAGAAAAAATCGACGATAACTCCGTGATGGTATGGACTCCGAATTGACTATGGAAATGGTAGAAAACAGCCTAATTCAAGCAGCTTAGGATAGCGCATAGACCTTCGTGTATTAACGAAATATACCAATTAAACAGAAAAATCAGAAAAAAATCTCTATCAGTTAGGCTACTTCAAATAACTAGAAAAATACAGACAAAAAAAGTTCGATATCCTGACAAACCCTTTTCCGGGGTCCCAAAAATGACACCAAAACTTTAATATCTCAAATTTTCAGGCTCTGTAGCAGATTCGGAAATCGAGTCGATTATCAGCGTGGTCGCATCTATAAATGTACAAATTCTCAGCCCGATCCGTGTTGCGGGGTATTTTGGACTTCCCTAGTTGGAAACGTTCGGCCTGGTTGACAAACACTTCTGTGAATCCAAAAAAATAATCAGAGACAAAATAGGCGAGATACTATAGAAATACGTTTTTTTTTTAGAAAATATGCAATGCCCCGTCCTGCTGGCCGCCGGCCCCCCTGGCCAAACCAATGCCCCGTTCTGCTGGCCGCCGGCCGCGGGGACTTGGCAATGCCCCGTTCTGCTGGCAATGCCCCGTTCTGCTGCCATTGCCCCGTTCTGCTGGCTTTGCCCCGTTCTGCTGTCATTGCCCCGTTCTGTTGCCAATGCCCCGTTCTGTTGTCATTGCCCCGTGCTATCGGTACAGAGCCGAGAAAGTGAGAGAGTGATAGAGAATGAGAGACAGGGAGTGAGAGAGAGAGAGTGAGAGAGAGTGAGAGGGAGAGAGAGATCTCTACCAATTTGTAGTGACGAAGAGCTGATGCACATCAACTCCTTCATCCTGTGTATGGTCGCGTTGCTCTTCCTCACCACCTACTTCAAGTGCAGTGGGTTTTTCGGTTCTAGGCTGTTTGCGGGGGGTGACTTTTTGTTACGTTTGAAACACTTATTTTATGTATTTTTATGGTGTTTTTAGTATTTTTGACTTCCCAGAAAGTTACACAAAATATTCAAGACTACGTAAAAATTAAAGAAATTTGGTTTTTTGGTCCTTTTTCATACATTTTTCAATTTCAATTTTATAAGAAGTTTTCAATTTTATACTTGGTTTTTCTATCTAAAAACTGTGTAAAATTCTTTAAAAATGGGCTAGATTTCTTTGTAGGGTCGTACGCTATTGCGGGAATAAATTTGTCCCCCCCGCTAAGAGTAAAAGTACCACTATTTTTACTTTTTTGCAGAAAAATACGAGGCACCGCCGCGGGTGACCTGGCTGGAGGTGACGACCCCAGAAGATGCACACCCTCAAAATCCGCCGAAACAGCCCGACGGCATGGCCAAGTCGGCCAGGAGCAGCGCCACAGTCTAGCCCACGTCTTCAACAAGTTCAGCCCCAATCTCTCTTCTTTCTAATATTCCATATCCATCTGTCGCTATGATTTCGGCTTGTCCATTTCTCTATTTCGTCGTTTTTGGACACTCGTGTTGTGATTACGGTGAAGATGTGCTACCGATAAATCGGTTGCAAGACTTGGATTTTCGGAGCTTTTGCATTATCGGGGGGGGGGCTTATCAAATCTAATTTTTCCACTGTTGTTATTATTAAACGCAAAAACTTTCTAAATTTTTGTAAAAAATAAAAATTTCGAATTTTGACTAAAAATGCCGATTTTCGACAAAAAAAATTCGAGTTTTTAAATTTAATTTTTTGGATGATTTTTCTGTTAAAAATATAGCTAAATTCATCCAAAACATGAATAAAATAATTAATGTGACGTTACTAGAGATTTATAGGCTGATAGGAAAATCCACCCGTTAATGGAAAAGTACCTAAAGCTATAACGGGATTTTCTATTTTCACTTGATCCGAATTATTTTGTGTAAATTGCGTCAGAATACATAAATTTCATGAAGCATATTTATTTTCACACAAAATTCAGCATGGCTCGGGTCCGCTCGACGAGCATGTGGATGACGTGCGTGTTCTTTCGGGCGGCTTTTCTGAAAACAACCGAGAAATTTTTATGATAGAATCTCTGCCAGATTGTCTCTTCTTCCCTAGCTCAATTTCCTCAAAGAATCCCTGCTAGCTTGCCAGGCATCAAAATCTGTAAAACCGGTTGAGTCTGGACGACGAAATAATCTGAAAATTTTCAGTTTTATCGGGCTAATCGTTGAAATATATTTTTGCAAAACTTTTGTATAGCTATTTTCGCCAAATTTTGACAATTTTACAATAGATTTTTCGGGGTCCGCGACACGCGACGCGCACGGGCGCGTTTCCATTGCGTAGTGGGTTGTGCCGCGTCGCGTTTGGCGGCACAGCTCATTTATTTTTATTTAGTTTCTAGGCTGTCGGAAAATTAGCGCCCCAAATTGTCTCTCCTTGCAGAAAAACCATAAAACATTTTTTCATGAATTCCGATTTTTTTTTCTGGTTCCAACATTTTCTCTAGGGGCAGGATAGCAAAGAACATTTGAGGAAATTAAGATTAGATAATGCCTTTGGGGTAGAGTAACCCACTAAATTTTTTAGTTCACACCAACGCCAAAATTTTGATGTTTCAAGAAAGGGAAAATAAAAACCGGCACGTGAGAGCAATAATTGCATCCTCGTATGGTATTTTATGGATATCGAAAATTACTGCCGATATTGGCTGCTGATAATTACTGGCAAAGATTGAAATGTTAATAACCTGATCGATAATGATCGAGTATTAACGACTTGAGTCGCGGCTGCTAGCACAAAAACAACGAAACATTTTTCGTCAATTCAAATTTTTGCATATGGCAGGCCAGCAGAGAGCATTTGAGGTTCGCGCCAAAAAAATAGAAAATGATTTTTGAGCTTTCAGCTAACCAAGTTTCAGCAACCCAATTAAAAACCTTCAAAAATTTTGATGTTTCAAGCCAGGTGAGCGTCAACAACGGAATCCATGAGATATTGCTTCAGGGTTCCGGATCAGAATTTTATCCACCGTAATTACGGGGTAAGGAGCTTGTAATCCATCCGGCGATGGAACTGCGACGCAGGCGCGTTGCGTGTCGTAGTGCGGAAAAATCGATAGAAAAAAACACTGCCAATAATAAGAGATTCCAAAGGTAATAACAACCTATAGTTCCTTTAAACCTTGAAAACCCGTCACGCGAACGAGGACACCTATTTACGCATCAATTTGGGCCAGAAAATGCCGATTTTTCACGATTAGCTGAAACAAACCAGCGACACAAGATTAAGAAATCCGGTTTCCACTAAAAGCGCCAAAAAAATTGAATCATCACTTTTCAACCGGAACGAGAACTCGAATTTACGCGTCAATTTAGATCGGAAGCTGTCTATTTTTCACAATTCTGCAAAGCATCGATAAGGTAGTCCAAGAAAATTAAAAGATTCATTGTTTTCCCGATAAAATAAAAAGTTAAATCATTGTTTTTCAACTGGCTGACTGTAATGAGAATTTGTGAGATCTGTAAAGAAATGTTTCAACAATTTGGATACCCAATTTCATTTCTGGAAAAATAGTTAGACGTTGTTCGGTCCCAAAGTTTCCAAAAAAGTTAGTTAGCGGAGATTTTTTGCGGAAATATTAATTTTTTTCCGATGCCTTTTGGCTTAAAAAACACTGCAAGCAAACGAGGGCTCCTGTTTACGCGTCAATTCTGGCAATGCCGATTTACTTCCCTTTTCTTCCCGATAAAATGAAAAGGTTAAATCATTGTTTTTCAGCTGTCTGATTGCGATGCGAATTTGTGATTCGGTAAAGCATCATTAACATGGTGCAGGAGAAATTAAAGGGATGAGCTTTTTTCGAGAATGGAAAAGAGTTGAAGCATTGTTTTTGGTGTCAGATCCCAAACAGAATTTGCGAAATCCCTAAAAAATGTTTCAACAATTTGGAAAAATAGTTTCAGTTTGCAAAAATGCTTGTTTAATGATTGATATTTTCCGGACGGATTAACTTTAAAAATACGTCATGCAAACGAGGGCTCTATCTACGTGCAAATTTGGGCCAAAAACCGCCGATCTTTCACGATTAGGCAAAGCTTCCTACAGATGGTCAATCCCGATCAAGAGAGTCAGCTTTTTCCGATAATCGAAAAAGGTTGAATCATTCTTTTTCAGTTGTCTGATGTAATGATAATTTGTGGATCCGTAAAAAATGTTTCAACAATTTTCCATATCCAGTTTCATTTCTGGAAAATGATTCGAATTTGTCTGTGATTGCTTAAATTATGAAAAAAGGGCTAACAGAGATTCTTTGCGGAAACATGGATGTTCTCCGAACCCTTTTAGGCTCGAAAAAACACGGCAAGTGAACGAGGGCTCCTATTTACGCGTCAATTTGGGCCACAATCGCCGATTTTTACAAGCAGAGCGTTATGCGAATAATAACAAGAACTTCTCGGCCTAGCGCCAAAAAGGTGTATCATCGTTTTTTGAACTCGTTGTGGAGAGCGCGTGTAATCAGATTGTACAAAAATATGTTTCACTTAAATATCCAATTAGTTTCTGGCAAAAATGTTAGGATGTTTTGCTGCCTGGGCTAATCAGATAAAAAGATAAAAATTAGATAAAAATCAGCTAGCAGAGATTCTTTGCCAAAATATCGACAGGTTCCCTTTAAATTTTTGGTTCTGGTTTGTTAGCGGGGGGCGGATATTTGAACCTCCCCCGCTAATGAACAAGAACCTTTCAAAAAAACCTACCTTCCATCATAGCACAAATACGCCGACCACAGAAAGACCATCAGAATCGAGATGACCACGTAGGCAATGCTGAAAACATTGGGTACTTTTGCATTATTGGGGGGGGGGCGCGGGTAGGGAATTTTTTCTATAAGTCTTCAATGTGAAATTAGATGTTTCTTATAAATTCTAGTTTGAAATGTTTAACGAAAAATCGATTTTTTAAGACGAAAAACTATTTGAAACTTTCGAAAAAAGCCGAATATTTTGTAATTAAAGTAAAAAACCATTCTTTTCCTTGTATGTTTTTAGAAAAATTTGTAAAATTTCTAAATTAAAAAATGTAAAAGTCGTTTAAAAATCCTGCCTCTATTTTTATCAGAAAAATTGGATCTTAAGAAAAAAATTCGCGCCCCCCCGATATTACCAAAGCACCAAAAAAATAGTTTATTCTGGAAACTCCGCACAGAATCCCTGCTAGCCTGCCCCACCTGACAGAGTGGACAAGCTCCTCTCTGGTCCACTGCGACCCGGTCCATTCCAAGTAGTACGTTACATTCCCATCGACGGGTGGTGCAGGGGATACGGTAGATGGGGCGCGGAGTAGGACGCCCATTTAACGCATTTTTAAATGTATAATTTTTTATAATTTTGTGCCCTAAAAAAGATATATAATTAGCGTATTTAAAAAATTAAATTTAGAAAATTGAGAATTTGCCAGTTCAAAAAGTATGTTTAATAAAATTAGAAGGCGAAGGAAAAATGATATTCAGGACTTGTCGCTTGTCGCTTCCCATGTATTAGTTTTTAACGTAGAATTTATATACTTAAGGTGTACTAAATAAACAATACATAAAAATAGCTGTAAATCAGGATAGATATTTAAAAACAGAAAAATAACCCTGAAAGAAGTGATATAAAATCGCGGATTTTAAAAGATTAAATTCAGAGCAATTGAGACTGAAAAAAATGTGTTTTATAACATCCAAGGGTGAACCAAAAATAACATCTACCGATTTCACTGTGATGATCATTTTCTGGCAATTTGTAAAATACACCCGGTACACCCGTTTGCGTAGCGTACGCGTGTGCGTATAGTGCGAGTGGGTGGGCAGCTACGCAAACGGGTGTACCGGGTGTACTTTGCCAATTGCCAACTTCCTATAGCGTTGAGCCCTAAAATAAGGGACAATTAGCCTATAGGTCCTATATAGCCCTCTTTGGGATGAGAGAGAGGGGGAGGGGGCAGGCTAGCAGAGATCATTTGGGATGAGAGAGAGAGGGAGGGGCAGGCTAGCAGAGATCATTTGGGATGAGAGAGGGGGGGGGGGGCAGGCTAGCAGAGATCATTTGGGATGAGAGAGAGGGGGAGGGGGCAGGCTAGCAGAGATCATTTGGGATGAGAGAGAGGGAGGGGGGCAGGCTAGCAGAGATCATTTGGGATGAGAGAGGGGGGAGGGCAGGCTAGCAGAGATCATTTGGGATGAGAGAGAGGGGGAGGGGGCAGGCTAGCAGAGATCATTTGGGATGAGAGAGAGGGGGGGGGCAGGCTAGCAGAGAACATTTGGGATGAGAGAGAGGGGAGGGGGCAGGCTAGCAGAGATCATTTGGGATGAGAGAGGGGGAGGGGCAGGCTAGCAGAGATCATTTGGGATGAGAGAGAGGGAGGGGGCAGGCTAG